CTTTTCTTTCTAAAACATCTTCTTGTAACTTTTCAAGTCTAAATCTTTTATACATACTCATACTGGTATCCTTAAATGTAAGGCATGACATAAAAATGAAATAAACATTCAAAAGTATTTATAAAGGTTCTTGATCCTTCATGAGTTTTCAACATGAAAATGGCATATAAGAATAACATAAAAATCTGAAATTTATGCACATAGATCCAAATAATAATCTAAACTTTAGCTAGAAAATAATTCTAAGCTAATAGGTACTTACTACTCCCATTAAGTATATATTAACTATTTTATGCAATTCATCAAACACCTTGTGTGCGTGCTTTGTGAGTTAAACCACTTTAGTAAAGGGTTATATCAACTCACCTCAATACTCCTTGAGCCAATACGTAGACCCCAGTCCAATTTATACCCGTCAAACAATTGATTCTACAACAACCAGTGCATTTTAATTAATTTCAAAGTTTCACACCTAAACATGGGATGTACTGTTGATACAGAGAAAGAAGGGAATTAACTATTCAATTTTTACCTATTACTACTGTAGGGTAATTGACAATAAGAAATTTTATATACCTGAGTGCAAGAATTAATGAATTGTAAAGAACCCTAGAAATTGGATTGTCTGCGTGAATGGTCGCTGGAACTTATTGCTTCGTCTCTGCCCTTACTCTAATTATTGAATTGTTGCTTTGTATTTCTTTGAAACCCACTTCCTTTGCCCCCTTTTCGTGCCAGGCTTTAAGCCTTTTTCCTTATCTTACGACCAACCTATTCTATGGGCTTTAAGACCAATTTTAAGTCTTTTACCTTTCTTTTTTTAACTTAACTAATAATTAATGATACCCACTTTTAATAAGTAATAATATTAAAATTATTAATATTTTTCTAATTGTATATCCAATTATTTAAGTGTGTGTATACATACATACACACACACACACATATATATATATATATATATTCACTATAGGCAAGAAAATTACATACATTCACTATAGGCAAGAAAAAAAAATAATAATAATTTAATTATATAATTAGCGTGTCTCGAAACTTTTATTAATATAAGGAGCGTTACAATCTTCCCTCCTTAAAAACATTCGTCCTCGAATGTTACTAGGGCCTTATTCTTAAGCTAACAATCATTTCTTAGGTCCTTGAACCTCTTAAGTTTTCTTAGCACTACTCACTTTTCCAAGAGACTCAACATTTTGGCTAACTCCCTAAAATTTTCAAAAATTTCGGCAGAGTTTCCCTTGTAAATTGGACTATCCAAAAAAAATATCCCTATCACAAATACCACAACTACACCAACAACAACCAAATATACCGTAACAGGCCATTCATAGGCACCATACACAACTCATAAATTAATTACTCACACTCCGGCAAGGAGGTACCACAATAACTAACAATTATCTAAAGCACAACACTTTAGCAAAAGTAAATCACTTTAATGAATTAAATATACTCTAACGTAAACTAAATCACTACAACAACTAAATATAATCTAGGAAGGACATAAACACTTGCTAACTTGTATTTAATAAATGTAATATAAATGTCAAGCCAAACCTAGGTTCACATACCTTGTTACTCAAATAAATAAGGATACTTCTTCCTCATCTCTTCCTCGACCTCCCACGTAGCTTCTTTTGAATCATGATTACTCCACAAAACTTTTACCGATGCTATATCTTTTGTCCTCAACTTCCTTACTTGTCTATCGAGAATTTCTATAGGTACCTCTTCATAAGTCAAACCTTCTTTAATTTCTATGGTATCGGCATGTATTATATGCGACTCATCATGAATGTACTTTCTAAGCATAGACACATGAAAGACAGGATGAACAGGGGACAACTCAACGGTTAGCGCTAGCTTATAAACCACGTTTCCTTTCTTTTCTAGAATTTCATAAGGTCTGATAAATCTAGGGCTAAGTTTCCCTTTCTTACCAAACCTCATAACTCCTTTCATTGGTGAAACTTTCAAAAACACCTTATCACCAACCATGAACTCTAACTCACGATGCCTCTTGTCAGAATAAAACTTTTGACGACTCTGAGCCGCTTTAAGTCTTTCTCTAATTAGCTGAACTTTCTCCAAGGCCTCACAAACAAACTCTGGACCAATCAACGACACCTCTGCTGGTTCAAACCAACCCACTGGAGACCTACATCTCCGCCCATACAACGCTTCATAAGGAGCCATACCAATGCTGGCCTGATAGCTGTTATTGTAAGCAAATTCTATAAGTGGCAAGTGATCATCCCAATTACCTCCAAAATCTATAACACACGCACGCAACATATCTTCGAGAGTCTGAATGGTTCTTTCTGCCTGGCCATCGGTCTATGGATGGAAAGCAATGCTTAAATTGACCTTGGTACCTAATCTTTTCTGAAATGCCTGCCAAAAATGCGCCGTAAACTGAGGGCCTCTGTCCGATATGATTGAAACTGGAGTACCATGCAATCGGACTATTTCTTTGTTGTACAACTGTGCATACTGCTCTGCGGAATCTGTTGTCTTTATTGGTAGGAAATGCGCGGACTTAGTCGGTCTACNATTATATGCGACTCATCATGAATGTACTTTCTAAGCATAGACACATGAAAGACAGGATGAACAGGGGACAACTCAACGGTTAGCGCTAGCTTATAAANCATCTACATCAGGCACACATAACCGATCATTCAACTTCAAAACTCCGTCACTTCCTAGAGTGAAGGCAGCGATTTTTTTTTTATTTCTGACTCCTTCTTTTAACTTCAATAAGTACGGATCTTCGTCTTGCTTAGCCTTAACATGCACAATAAGGGAGGATTGCGCTAAGGCATAAGCAGTTATATCTCCTTCTTCAGTCTCATCCAATCTAATTCCATCATTTGCTGGTATCCTTAAATGTAAGGCATGCCATAAGAATGAAATAAACATTCAAAAGTATTTATAAAGGTTCTTGATCCTTCATGAGTTTTCAACATGAAAATGGCATATAAGAATAACATAAAAATCTGAAATTTATGCACATAGATCCAAATAATCATCTAAACTTTAGCTAGAAAATAATTCTAAGCTAATAGGTACTTACTACTCCCATTAAGTATATATTAACTCTTTTATGCAATTCATCAAACACCTTGTGTGCGTGCTTTTGTGAGTTAAACCACTTTAGTAAAGGGTTATATCAACTCACCTCAATACTCCTTGAGCCAATACGTAGACCCCAGTCCAATTTATACCCGTCAAACAATTGATTCTACAACAACCAGTGTATTTTAATTAATTTCAAAGTTTCACACCTTAAGATGGGATTTACTGTTGATACAGAGAAAGAAGGGAATTAACTATTCAATTCTTACCTATTACTACTGTAGGGTAATTGACAATAAGAAATTTTATATACCTGAGTGCAAGAATTAATGAATTGTAAAGAACCCTAGAAATTGGATTGTCTGCGTGAATGGTCGCTGGAACTTATTGCTTCGTCTCTGCCCTTACTCTAATTATTGAATTGTTGCTTTGTATTTCTTTGAAACCCACTTCCTTTGCCCCCTTTTCGTGCCAGGCTTTAAGCCTTTTTCCTTATCTTACGTCCAACCTATTCTATGGGCTTTAAGCCCAATTTTAAGTCTTTTTTAACTTAACTAATAATTAATGATACCCACTTTTAATAAATAATAATATTAAAATTATTAATATTTTTCTAATTGTATATCCAATTATTTAAGTGTGTGTGTATACATGCATACACAACATATATATATTTTCACTATAGGCAAGAAAAAAAAAAAATAATAATTTAATTATATAATTAGCATGTCTCGAAACTTTTATTAATATAAGGAGCGTTACACATTGTTTGAACCAAACACCATAGGCTATGGTGTTTGGTTAGTCTATTTTTGGAGTCAAATGGGTAAATCTAGTAACCATATGAAATATTGAAACTCAGAAGGAAGAGGCAGGAAAGAAGAGCATGTAAAGCTCCTCTAATGCTCATGCCGACAAATGGAAAGAATGGAATAGAAGAGTGTTTAACGAAGTAGAAACCTCCCTTGTACAATTTAGTGAAATTAAAAATATGTGTGATTTTGTAGCACATATGATGTCTCAGTTAGCATTAACGCCTGAGTGCTCTTTTAGAGAATTATGTAGTAGTGTACGATTCTCTACTTCTGTATATACACATTTTGTGGAGGAATCTATTCATTACATACTAATTCTGTTAATTGAGGTGAACCTGTTTTTGCTTCAAGCTTGTATTCAATGCTATAGCATCTGTGGGCCAAATGAGATATAGTCGAATCAATTTTGCAGTGTCTGTTCTTCTGTTCAGGGTATACCCACTTGTTTTCTTTTCGTCATTAAAAAACTCTTGGGAAAAACAGTTTCACAGCCAAAAAGGGTGATTGACTGCATATTGCATATTACATGGTTCGTCATTTTGTAGCATACCTTGCATATTTGATATATTTTTCTGTTCTTCCACCTTTATCCAAAAAAAATTAAAATACTTCCTCCACTCCAAAATGGGGACTTGCACTAATGTTCAAGCGCAGATGGGTGTTTTTAGTTTTACTAGTAAACCTGAGAATTGTTTGCTGGCTCTTCGGTTGCAAGTTTGGAAACATTTAGGTCTACCGAAGTCTAAGTCTGAGACAACTACTATGACCCTTTGCATTTATATAATTTGAAGCTTTAGGTTTCAATAGCAGAAACCCCTTCGTCCACATCATGTTAGACTCCTCTGTGTACAGATTTGACCCCTTGATTGCCTTTCTTCTCTTCTTTCTTTTATGTCATTGTCTTTACTTTGTGCTGCTTGAACCTTTCAAGCTTCAGAATCAATTGTTAATAATTTACTTTAATGGTATCAAGAAACCAAATCAATGTTCTAAGATCATGAGTTAAATTGCATAATCATACCATTCCTTAGGATCAAATGTTAAAATTTTATTCTGTGTCAATGACTTGAAGTTCTGATTCTTGCACAGCTGGAAGGTGGTGGTGTTGCCAGTGGCGGTCTTCGCGAATTAATTCCTTGTATTGCCAGGACAGCTGTTGCTGTGGGAGTAGATGGAATTTTTATGGAGGTATAAAGGGCATCTGTGTGATTCGTAAAGTTTGTGATTTGCTTTCTGTATATGCCCCTTGTTTAAAACAACTATGTGTACTCCTTTTTTAAGAGGACAAGGGTAAAAGGAATTTGAGAGTTGGAATGAAAATGAAGTGAATTACTTTTGCTGTGAATTCCTTTAAAAGGGAAACTTTAAGCCTTTCTAGTGATTCCTGAACTTCTTGATGTTTATCAAAACTTGCTTTAGTTTTCTGCTCAACTGAACCAGAGAAATTTTTTTGTTAGGTGCACAATGATCCCCTGAATGCTCCAGTTGACGGTCCAACACAGTGGGTGAGTTACAGGCAAACAAACAATATATACTGTTGAGACTTTTGAGATGTCCTGTTCTCTAAAATGAAACTTTATTTACAGTGTAATTCTGATTTTAGCTGTTAATTGATCAACGTTTTCATCTTCGTATTGACATAGCCTCTGCGCCATCTGGAGGAACTACTAGAAGAGCTTGTCACGATTGGTGTAAGTTACTTAATTTCTCTTTAGCATGAATTGTTTATTAGACCTCCTTTTGTTGCATAAGTGAATGTAGCTAATTTTTCAATTAGCACATATAGAAGATAGAAGGATATCATTAAGGTTCTTTGGTATATCCAAGACACGTGACATTAGTGTAGGGTGCATAAAGATCTGTCATTGGCTTTCACAAAGAGTTATTCTACATTTTTTATTGCTGTATGATTAGATCTTGATGGGAATTTTACTGTGAACCAGCATGATCCATACACTACTTGGATCTGATTTGAGCTATTTTATTTATTTCTAATATGTGGATAAAATTTGACAAAAATAAGATGTATATTTCATGATTTTCATCCATAATTTTATTGTTGCGTACAATTTAAAGCCGATACATGAACTTAATTGTGGGGCAAAACATGATAATTGAGGTGTCAGCTTTAGGTAAAAAATTACATTAAAAGGTTACTGAAATTTTTATTCGTTTCCTAAAGTTTATTGTCAGATATAACTGATCAACCGTGGGAAGATATATTTGCAGCTGTTTGATTGAATAGTTACTGTTTATTTACTTCTTCCTCCCTAGATAAAGAGCCTGAATTAAGTCTTAAACATCATTATCATTATGAATGTTCTTTTGTTCAGCTATTACATTTGCCCTTGGTCTTGATGTGGAAGTGTAATATCATTTGTGTTTCTTTTGGCATTGAGCTACGTTCTGTCTTTGATCTGTTCCAAGCTGGATAAGTAACATGACAGCCTGAGTAAAAACTGCCTTTATTTCAACTTCTAGATTCTACAGAGAACATGTTACTGCATTAAACAACAAATAGATGTTAGTAAATGCGAAGAAAGACTGTTACTTAATGGTATATGTTTCCCATTTAGCTTATGCTTTGCGTCATTCCTTGCATATTTCTGTGTCCTTTTCTCCTTAGAACTTCACAATTCTTCTTTTCTTTTCCTAATATCACATTTCTTACAGAGAGTTAGCAAGGGGAAGCAGCAATTCAAAATTGATCTCACTCCATTTCGTGATTAGGACACAGTTTTGGCTATCAGTAAGCATTCCGAAGTCACTTGAAAATATTTGAACTCATAACTGTAGATTACGTTTTCATGCTGAATTGTACTTGACCTGTTGACCTCACATTGCGGTTTATATTTTACACATATACTTCATGTATGTGTTTTTTTCTGGAATAATGAATTGGTTTATCATGTCCTTGATTCACATATTAGTTTCTGATCTGGATATGTTTCTCATAATTTTCTGGGGAAAGAATTCCCTCTGTTGACAAACTACTTATCTAACATTAATAAGAATGTTTTCTTTGGTTTCTTTAGCCCTATGATCATGTTGGTTTGTATACCTTGACATTGAATCTCTCAACGTCCATATTCTTATCCATACTATCAATGTCTACCAGATAACTCCATGCAGACGATGTCTCCTCCATTTCATAGCAGTGGGCTTCCTTGTTTACTGCCTCGAAGACATTACAGAGTGTACTCATTACTGTACTGAACAGCATCCTGCCAGTTCGCTAAGTAGACTCACGTGTATTAAATTTTCATTGTTTATTGTAAGCTTGATCTATGATTAATTCTTTGGTGAAGTTGTGACACTTCAAGTGCACTTAGAAGACTATCTATCATTTCTAGGAATGTAATTTATCCATATGTACCTCCGATAACCATGGAACGATAAGTTTGTATATTAGAACGGTTGCAATAAAAAAGTTATCTTTGGACTTCCAAATGATCCCTTTGTTGCCATATGGTGTTCTGCCTCAGTAAGAAAATTGATGCTGTTTAACTGTGTGAATTTCTTTAGATTCTGATGCTGTTGACTTACCCTGAAAAAAAAAGGACAAAATACAAAAATGAAGAAAGATAATATTGGAAGAGTTCCTGCTATGCATTCGATTGAGACGCAACAGTTGCTGGCTGAAACTGGGGTTATCGGCTTTCCTAAGTATCTACCAATCACTGCACTATTATCAGTCAATAATGGACATATATGATTATATACTGGATTAGTCGGTCTCGGATACCTAATTAAAAGAAGGGTTTAAGTTATATACACTATCAATGTAAGAAATTTTTACATCATCATTTCACCTTTACCTGTTGTATCAGTTAGCCTATCTTATTTTTAAGATTACAATAGATATTTTAAGGAGACTTATCTATAGATATCCTTTGGGTGACCTGATAGTGTAAGTTTTTGTATACCAACAATATATATATGACTCAAACTCTTTAAAAAAAAGGCAACAAAAACGACGAAGAAATTTATGTTCTAGTCTGAATGATTTAGGTTTCAAGAATTTCAACACCATTTTGCTGAACATACTTAGATTAGTATTCCCGGAGATTGAAAGTCCTATTTATAACTTCTCATGCGGTTGGTAACAAATTTGACTTGTAAAAAAAGCTACAAGGGTCAAATTCGTGTCACGTTTACACAGGAAAAAAATTGAAAAATTCAGGTACTGCAAATTCATTTTACTTCCAATGTTTCTGTAGCTTCTATGTCCATACTTTCTGGTATCATTGAGCTGCAAATTTCTGAATCTTCTCTGTTGATGCAGAATAGTCTCTTCCTTTCCAGTCCAGAGCTTATGGCCTAAAAATAAGACTAAAGATAAACTAGAAAATTGGAGTTGGCCAACAGAACTAAAGCCTCTTTCTCCAACAGCTACAATTCACTGATTTCACCATCTCTGCAACTGCCTACCCACATGTACAAATTTGTTTTCGAGTTGTTTGATGGTAGAACACCACAACACTCCCTCCTTGGAGACTGCAGCAGAAAAATGAAAATCCACTCAGACAAAGGCACTATAACGAGTATTATAAAGAATGTGGAACAGTCGAGGTGCAGACAAACTGGTCCAGACACCAGCGCAAAGAGCGTTAAGAAAGAAAAGGTTAACGTAGAAGTGCCTAAAATGTACCTTCTGCCATCGGTTGCTATCTGGTCTTTTCAACAGAACAATGTTGTTGATATTCTCAGGTGACTCAACTTTCCATCTGCAATAAGGTGAAGGCTCTCTATGTCGATAATAAATCCCAACTATTTGCTTCCTCGTTCGATCATATTTAGCTGTGTTCATGTAATACACAAAAGGCTTCTGGCAAGGATGCTTTGCAACAGGCCTAGTATTGAATGCATAAGCAGTATAATCAGCTCTTCTGTACCAATTGAGAAATGTTCTTGTGGGCATTTCAAGTTCTCTAGGGGAAATATTACCCCTAATGATCTGAACCACATAGCCCCATGATACTGAGATTGACCAATATCTTTCTTTGTCGTAGCAGATTGACTGTTGCATTAGGCTAGCTGAGTCGAGTTTTGCAGATTCAAATAGGCGTTGGAGGCCGGAAACTCTGCTCATTCCTGGGAATATTGGATCAACCACATCAAGATGGTGAAGTGATACTAATGGTGATACTGGATGTGCTCCCAATAGGCCTAGTAAGTTCCCATACACATCATACTATACTAGCACAAACAAAAAGATATCAATTTCAGCCAATGTTTAGTGTACATAAAAAGTTAAAATTCAATATACAATCAAAAGGTATAAGAACTTTTAATTGGGAGTTTACGATCGAGGGGTCAAGTGTTAAAATCATGCATGGGCGCTGAATTTTACCCACTATAACAGTGAAGTCACAAAACTCTTATGTCATTTTAAAGTAACCGAACTTTTACATATCCACTAAAACAAGAGTAAAAAAAGGGCAATCTGATGCACAAAGCATCCCGTATTCATGTAGGGTCCGAGGAACGGCCGTACTCTTAGGGGTATATATCAAGATCAATGGTAAAAGCATAAGCAAAGAGGTTTGGTTTGAAGTTTACCTGATGAAATCCACGTTCTTTGGTAAGGGGTACTCCAAGTTCAGCCATACAAGCTTGAATTCTATCATCACTACCATATAATCCAGGATATTTCTGAATACAACGATCTTGCATTTTTTCTAACTCTTTTGCCAATGGATAACTAATAGCAAATCCACCACCCCCATAAGCCATAGCATATGAGAAAAATATATTCTGGACATGACTTTCTGAAGAGCTACCAATGTAATAATATTGGTTATGATCATACTTTGATAAAACCCTAACCACATTTTCTACAATAAATACTGTGTCATCATCTCCCATTACAAACCATCTCACATCTTTCAAACCCAACCTTAGTGTCTCTGAAACTACCCTGGAAATCCTCAATGCTGATCTTTTCCCTTGTCGATTCGTGTATAGAAATTTTCATGTGTCACCTGAAATCGGAAAACAAAGAAAAAAAATCATACCTTGACGATCAATACTTCTATTCAACAACAACAATTAAACTCATCAAATTCAAACCCTAGATCCGCCTCTACCTCTACACTTAGTATTTCCTTATTTCTTGTAACACATTTCAAATGGGCAGCCCAGTGCACAAGACATTCTGTGTTCATGCAAGATCATGTGATGTAGACAACCTATCTAATGCAAGTATTAGTGGCAGCTTCTACGGCTTGAACACGTATAGATCACACAGAGACAACTTTACTGTTGTAACACGTTTAAAATGGTGTAAAAAAAAAAAGTAATGTCAATTTCCAAAAGAAAAAAAAATGCTACCTGAAATCTTAATATCAGGAAGAGCTTCATTTCTGTTAGTTTTCACATTTTTATCTAACCAAACAACACCTCTTGTTTCACCTGGTCTCCACCATAATTTTATATACTCTTTCCTTTTATCCCATAAATTTGATGATGCAGCTATTCCAAATACAATATGTTTGAGCTCAGTTTCTGGCTCCTTTGCTCGAACATATTCTTTGGTTCTTTCTTGTCGTTCTTGAAAAGTGAGTGAAGATGAGTTCGTGGAAAAAGCTTCAGTGGTTGAAATGTTAGAGGAAGAGGAAGTATTAACACAATCTGAAGAATCATCTTTATTAAGAATGAGCTTTGAAGAGTAAAGAAGATAAATGATTAATAAAAAAAAGAAGAACCAAGTGATGGATTTGCGATGGCTACGTTGAGAGGAAGCAGAAGTCATTATTAATTATTATGGAGTTTTAATTAATTAACATGAGTAATTGAGGTTGTTTTCAGTTTCTGGTGATCATTGTGATTAATTTTCAGGTGAAGCAGCAAAATTAGGAGGACGAAAAGTCAGTGAGAGATGTTCGGATCAATTAGGAGGAGATTTTTGAAGTTAGTTAGAGGATTGAACGAAGATGAAGGCGTGCATATGGCTCTCTAATCATGTTAATTAACAAAGTGACATGCAGGACTTTACAACAATAGTTTGCTTATTAATATTACTATTCAATATGACACTGTAGTACAGTTCCTTATTTAGTAGAGAATCTTACGGAAATATCCAAAATAAGCCCAAATTTATCAACTTTTAATCATTAATCACAGACTTAGCAAAACTAGTAAAACACATACAAAATTGAAAATCCCATACAAATAAGGATTTTTTGCTGCCGAGAATCACACGTAAAGATCTTTTTCCATATTTTTAAGCGTGACCAACATCATTAGATGCAAGACGGAAAGGAAATTGTATAGATGAGGTAGCAACAAGGTGAGGAAACACAAAGAACAAAAAATACGACTTTCCAAAAGCCTAAGCAAAAAAGGACTTTTTTTAATGGGCATAATTGAAATTCATTAAAAACATATAGATGAGTCAATATACAAAATTTGAGAAAGATTATAGGTGATTTGGACTAGTTTTAAGTCAAAATTCGTAGTTGAAATCGAGTTTAAAATTTCTCTACGAAATTTCTCTGCATATGAATCAAACATATATCTCATGCACATATATACATGGATATATAAGAGATATATATTTGATACACAAGTGACACAAAAGATACATGGGAGATACACAGTGAGATATACATATCATTTTCTTTCATGTTCATCTTGTGTACTTCGTATTTGGCTTAAAGTTCAATTCAAACCACCTAAAATCTCCACCAAAATAGTCCTGAAATTGAGATTTACACTACTTAAGATGTACCAAATCTATTCCAATAGCACCCCACCTGAAATAAGTCTAATTTTAAAAGCCAAATTTTTGAATTCAAGCTTTAGAGAGCTTCAATAGTTGTCCATGAAGTTTTCAGTTTAATCATTTGACCCAATCAAACAAACTAACATTTAATAGTGATTTCATTAAAGTGCTCGATTCTCTGAACTTCAACTTAAAGGAATTAAAATATTACAATATTGCTCAAGTTTAGTGCCTCAAAAAGTTTGGTTTGTGTTTTAGCAAAATAGACTTGTGTTACAAAATGACATTTGGGCTATTTCTCGTAGATATTTTATTTTGGACTAGTTTTGGTTGAAATTATTTATGGACTGACACTTTGGATAGTTTTCCCTATTTGATATAAGGAAAAAATAGGGAATGATGTACCTCCTATCGATAGGGACTGACTCAGGCCACCATGGTGAAAATAATAAGATGATGCCTAGAAATGATGTACCTCCTATCGATGCCGATGGTGTCCTAGCCACCGACCTGGTCGATGTTAACTCGCAGGTGGCCATCAACATCAACTACCGACTAATCCCCAAAACAACATTCGTAGGGGACTCCGGCTAACTACGAGAGGCGCCCGAAGGTGAAGGTGATGGGGTGAGCCTGCGCTTGATTTTCGAAATGTTGCAGGCTCAACAATTAGCGATAGCGCAGTTGCAGAACCAAAGCCACACCCCTAACAGGGTTGAACCTGAGC